GCACAATAAATAAGGGGTATTTTTACTTTTCTAATATGCTTCCAAAAAACTAGCATGTGCTGAAATCGCATCAATGGAAGGTGACTCTGTTTTCACAACAACATATAAATATTTTAATAGGATATTAAAACTGTTGTTGACTTCTGGATTAAGTCATAGAAGTAACAATGATCTGTCTGGAACTTGAGTGCTGTTTTCCTTGAGAAATCCTTGTGTCCGTTTTTTTCCAGGTATTGACACCTATAAAAAGTGAGAAAGTAATCAGGGGAGTAAGTTGTGCAGTTTTTTAAACATGTCTGAAATTAGGAAGTTGAAAAAGTCTTCCTACTATCTTCTTGTGTTTATATCTGGGTTTTCTAATTCTTCTTGTTTCATAACACTTCTAATGGTTAGATGGGGTTATTTTACAATCTCAGGTAGCTATGCTGCAGTAAAAATTGAAGTAAAAGATTTGGAAATTGTGTAGTCCTTCATTTGTGTGGTATTTTCAGTAGTAGACTTTTTCCCAGAAAGGATTTTGAAATCTGAATCTGAGTGAATTTCCAAAGAGTTAGTAATTTTGTTGGAATTGGAAGGCTGAGGACTGTAAATTTTCACTTAATAGCTCTCTTAACCAATGGCAAAGGAATAGGCTGAAGACTAAAAGGAAGGGGTTCATTGAGCTCCATGGGAGATTGCATTGAGGCATGTTTCTATTGTTACTGTCTAGCTGACTCTTTTTTCCCTCTTTTAGCAGTAGAGAGTGTTTTCCATTCAGGCACAGTTGCTGACTGAAGAAGCCCCTACACCCTTTGTTCATCATGAAGAAGGAACAGAAAAGCAATAGCAAAACTTCCTTACTTGTTGCACATGTCAGGACACAGTTGTGTATGGAAAGTTATGATGGCTTTTTTGTGACTCTTAGTGCCAGTGAAAGTATTTTGTTCCGTTAGTTGATGTTGGAAATAGCAGCTCCTCTTAAAATACAATATATTTTAAAATACTGTGCATTTCAGTATGGTAACATCAACATACCATGTAGCAATATTCTCACTGTTGAGTGTTCTGCTGGAAGTTAATAAATGTATTACTGGATTTGAAGCTGTGCTTGGATGGTAATGATGTCCAGTATGTGTCCAAAGGAACCCCAACAGTGGCAAATTTTCCTTACCTACTTAGCCTGACAACTTGGCAGGTCTCCTGTACTAAACAGGTTAACTTGATGGCAGATCTACAATGAAAAGTTGAAGAAGTGTTATTGCTAGTTCGAGGCAAAGCACTCTCTAGTAAGTCTGCTTGGACTGACAGCCCAGCTTGTTAATCCAAGCACTTTTTAGCAGACAGTTTCTTTCAAGTGTGGCACCTATCAGACCAGTCCAAACCTCCTTTTTGGTGGTTTGTAAGAAACAACATAATTAACATCAAAAATAGCATTATGTTCTGTGCACTTGTGTATGAAGCAATGGGTGAGACTCAGCTGATGCTGTCCATGCACTAATGTGATTCCTCACCAGAAAGTCACAGAGCTGTTTTGCACCAGATCTCCTTTGGCTGCCTGTGTGTTCTCTCCATATCACACACAATTTTTACCATTCCCTCAAACACCTATTTGCAACTCTCTGAATATGTTGAACCATTTCAAAGGACAATAGAATGGAATGTAGGCATGTCATTCAGATTCATGAAGGAGACTTTGGGGAAAAATTAATAAATTCTTTAAATGTGCTACTGGAGTCATGTGATACCAGTATTAAGGGCTTCAAGTTGAATGTCTGTAAGGACTGGTGACTGCTCAAAATGGTCTCATTTAAACGACACTTTTCACTGCCAAAGTATTAGTGAACAAAGTTTTACTCATGGAAAAATAAAACTTGGCACTTTCCAGCAAGGGCATATGGTTGAAGTTTTGAAGATAGGTGTATCTATCCAGAGGAGTTTGCTGAATCTGGGTGCCTTTTTTTTTTTTTATAATTGTAGCAAAGGACCAGCTCTTTTCTTTTTTTAGTGACTCACAGCTTGCTTGAGCTAGTGAGAGTTTGGAGTACTCTGCACACTCTGAGTGAGGTTCAAACTGTATTATGAGAGCTGCACAAAGATACATGAAAATACGTATATCTGTGTGTATATATAATAGGAATACCTATACCTGATGAAAATTTTGCAGTAGGCGAGGCTGCAGAAGTGTGGCAGGGAATTTGATGCCAAATTTAGTGCTCAGCTAACAGCCTCATCTTGTGACTGAACTCGTCTTATGGGAGAGCTGCATCTATGTTGGTTCTGCAGGCTTGTAGAAATGGGGAATAATTTTCAATTAATTCCAAAATAAGCATTCTTTATGTGCATATGGTTTCATCTCAGAGGAAGTGTGCTTATTCAAGACAGTGTTTAGACATGTATTTAAGCAAATGTGTAACTGTCAGTGGAGTCATGGAACTCAGAATATGCTTAATTCCCATCCTTAAAGCAGTTCAGAGAGGAATATTCACTTGGGTAGGACTCTGCTTTTTTTTAACTGATATTTTTAATAGTAAAGCAGGGAATCTAGGATATTAGTATTGAACAGTTACTGAAGCATACATCAGAAATTGAAATCTAGGTTCAGGGGCATAGCTTGAGTTAAACATAAAAGGTGAAGATGATTATCAGTCCCACAACTAACAGTACTGTGGAGTTCCTGGTTAAGGAGGAATCTGGAAGATTATTTAAAAAAGCAGTTTCATTATTCTTCTTGCTAATTTTTTTTTAAAGCTTTCAAAGTTAGTTTCCTTTGAAGGAAAGCAATATGAAATATAGTATGCTTAGGTATATTTTTCTATTAAAAACGTTCCTTAAGCATAAATAATAAAATACACAGCACGGCACAAAGATTATCTTGGCACGAGTCTGGGGTGACCGAATCACTTAGAGAGCTTGATACTTGTTAATAATGTGATCATTGCAAAGTGTGCCAATGAAAACTTCATACCTCACCAGTACGTGTGAGTATAAGTTTGTTAGTGTGTTCTTTTTCAGCACATTTTCTGGTACTGGATACCATGGATACGTGAGTCTGTGGCTTTTGTGACACAGTGGAAACAAAGTGAGAATGGTTTCAAGAAGGAAAGGTCTCACATCCTTCCTTATCCCTACTGCCTCTTGGCTACCTACTCCTTTTGTTTGCCTTGAACCAGTTTTAATGCCTATCCTATCACAAGGATGAACTAGCTCACTAAAATGGAAGATAAGTATCCTAGCAAGAAAAAAGGGAAAAGTGACGTTTTTCTTTGTTAATAAATTGAATTAATCTTATGAACAAGTCAGCCATCAGTGGTGGCAAGGAGTTGTGTATACCAGACCCTTTGCTGTGTGTTTTTGGGTGCTTATAGGTGCACATAGCAGCTCTGGGAGAAACAATGGAGGGCTGTAATATGTTTCTGTTAGCAGTATTGCAAGTATTCCAAGAGGTGACCCAGCAAGGCTGTTACCTACCATGTCCATGTTCACCGCAGTCATAAATACCCAGTCCCAAAAGGTGCATCCTGTGGTTAAACTGTGCAGAGTGATCACAGCTGGCTCAAGTTTGTTCAGAGCTTGTAGTCAATAGCAAGTGAGCATGAGGGGCATCCCTATGGAGTTTTGAACTCCTGTTGAGTAAGCGAAGATTTGACTTACACACGTCTCAGTTTATTCTTGTTGATACAGTCCAAAAAGCTCTCAAGCACCATCATGCCTGTTTGCAAGCACAGAGATGAGTGGGCTGGCATGAACAGGGAGGTTGAGTCTTGTCAAGGTCGCATACTCCATGCCACTGCTGGCTCCTCATGTCATGCTGCCTGAAGAAGACGCAATACCCTGCAGCACCACCACTCTGGTTACAGCTCGTTGATGTGACACAGCTTATGTGGGGTCCCACAATGGGAAAAGAAAGGAGAGAGCGTGTCACATCTTACTGCTGAAAGTGTTAGAAAGCAGGAGGAAACCATGATGAAAGGGAGGGACAAGCAGTGGAGGGAAGAGCACATTCCTCTTCCTTTTAGCAATGATAATCTGTTAATTTATTCCAGTGGCATCATGAAATTGCATTCACCAAGTATTTTGTAGGATTTCTTTCTCCCTTTCTTCTGTGTCGAATACAGCTGAAGACAGGCCATTGATTTGAAAGAGTTTTTTTTGGAGTTTGTCTGTTCTCAGTGCAAGAAGAATAATAATTTTGGTTCTTTAAGAAAAAAAAGTAATTTTTGAAGTTTACATCAGTAGCAAAGTGGAGACCAGCTGTTTTTGCAAAAAATGCAGCTGCTTAGAGATCCAAAGCATTATCTCATAATATAGCTATAGCTATGTTCTTCTCTCTTTGGTGTTTGCAGTTTTTGCTTAATGTTTTCTGTTACTAAAAACCAGTATGTGTTCAAGGGTGCAAGACATTGTTCATCTCTTGTAAGCATGACTATTGCTCATGCTGTCAGAGGACAGTACTGTGGGTACTGTAGTCTTGTTTATCAGAATCTTGTGATCCTGAAAATGACTCAAAAATCCTGTTTTGTAAAGATAGCCCTGTAACATTTAGTACTTTTGTGCTTCAGATCAATGGGGATGTACCCCTACCACACCTTCCTCCATGGCACTGTGTTTCAGCCAAAGGAAGGAAGTGTGTGAATTGTGTGCAAATTACTTGGAAAATAGATTTCCTATTTGCCTATGAAGAAAATGATAGGTTTTTGTAAGGAGCATCAAATTGTTCATGGAAGATGAGCAAAAGATGAAGCTCTTCAGAACAGTATTTTCTTCTAAGGTGTCTGTATGTATCAACGTACTGTTGTTCAGTATTTAATCTTTTTAACAATATCCCTTTTCCTCCACTTCTTGCAATTGACTCTCTCAGTTTCTGCAGGTAGTTCAAAATGTTCTGAGTGTTGAATTTGCTCAAGATCAGAATGGGGGGTCACCTCAATGCTGTGCCTGGAGGGTTCCAGTCCTGGGCTTCTCTCTGCCTATAGTAGCTATAAAAATTCATTTCCCATCCCCCTCCCCTTGTCTGTTTGCAGGTTATCTTGACGAATCAGATTACCACATCGCTGAGCAGCCCTGGGATCCAGGCAGACCTGGTGTCTCCAGCTGATGATTTGTCCCTGTCTGAAGGTATGAAATCCCTTCCATCACAACTGAAACTCTACACGGACACAAATCCACACTGTAACTTGCAGTCTTCTGTTGAAATATAGGGGGCTGAGAGAGTCAAATTATCAAGTTTAACCTAACACAGTCTTGAAACAAAATGATCTTCCAGTTTCTCTGAAAATCCATTTATAATTAAAAAAAAAGTATTTGGAGTAGCTAAAAGGATCAGAGACATTCTAAAGGCTGGGAATGAATTTTTGAGCCACGTCTGTTTCTCAGCATTGTACTGTCACTCACATGCATTTAAAGCATTATTTTGTCAGTCATCTAAAGCTGCTGCAAGAGTAAATACACAGGCTAGTCTGCAAATTTCATCTTATCTAATGGTTATCAGTGATTCCAAAGGGAAACAACTGGTCACAAAGGAAGGAAAGCAGATCCTCAGTCCTGTTCTGGTTTTCAGGTACAGTACCTCAGACTGCATCTCTCTGTTGTGTGAATGTAATATGGGGATTTTTGTGATGCCATATATTACTTTACATCGTGCTTCTGTTTTCTACACAGAATTAGAGAAAAGCACTTTTTTGAGTAATAGTGAGGACTTAGTGTGTTAAGAAGAAAAGATAATTCTGAATCAAGGTTTACAAAGTAATAATTTTGGTTTTCCCCACTTGCAAAGGATAGTCAGAGTACCCTCGTGAGGGACAGACACAGAAAACTTTGTTATTTAGTGTTCAGTTCATGCTTAGACCCAAATGTATGATGCAAAGCAATGCTCATCTTTCTTGCAAAGGCATGATAATTGCATGTAGACTTTCCATTTTGCATAACATGGGTATTTCCCTCTTTGTCTCCTTGCTGCACTTTCTGGTGGTTCTGATCAGCTTCTCTGTGTTCTGGTTGATCACATACAGTTGTCTCAAGCTTGCCTGACTTAACACAAGTACAGCTCGGTGGTAAAATAACTAAGCAGTGGTTAACACTGACATTATTTCTGCAACTCATTTCAGTGGATAAGAGAAAGAGGTTGAAGGTAGATTTAAACAGAATGTCAGGGGGTAGCAAGTAACTTTAGTGCAATGCCTTAACACTGGTTGATGTGTTTACTGTGTAATTTTGTCAATAGGAGTCTGGCAAAGCATGGCCCATTAAATAATTTTGGAAATGTGCTTGTGGCTTTTATTGGCTCCACTCATTGCCAAAGTATCTCTGAAGTATATGGTTTGAATGCTGCTCCCTACCTCTGGCAGAAAGATTTGAAATTTGGTAACTAGTTTTGGAAGATAAAGGCTTAATTTTTCACCTTTATAATTTCCTTCTTGGCCCAAAGTTGTTGTGCATTGTCTTCATCACAGTACTTGTGCTTCTCTTTGTCCTTTAGAATTGCTATGGATGAGCTTCCTCTGGAAAGAAAGGCACAGTTGACTCTAAAGTGGGAGTAATAACAAAATATGTTTTCAGTAAAACACATTTTTGTCCTGTGGTTAAAATATTTGAAGATATTTAGGAAAAACACATGGAATAGTTGAAATGTTTCTAAATTTCCTAGCATTTTTCCTATGAATAAAAGTTTCTCAGTGCTGTGTACGAGCTGTAGTTCAAGAATATTCTAGAATCAGGGCTACACAAGAGATAGCATGATTTTTCTAGCAGTTACAGATTATTAATGAATCTATCATGTTGTGCCTAAACTACCACCACTGCTTTTCACCCTTTAATTTAAGAATCAGTTAAAATGTATTGGTGCTCTGTGTTTTATTCCTTTATTGTTCTCATTCCTTGATTTTTAACTAAGGATCTGAAGTAGTAAAATGTGCCAACCTCACACTTGTTGAAAATGGAAACGTTTGTCTTGCCACAGGACAAGAACAGTACAGACATCAGCAGTGCAGGCTACTTTGGAAATTCAAGTTTTACCAAGGGATGTAGGGCTGATAAACTCCTTTCCTTCTCTCCCTTCCCTCCTTTCTTGACTAACATTGATATGGCATTTACTTACTGTATTGTGTAATGGAAGAACACATAACTGTGCATCTCCACACTACATACTTGTCTCCCTATGTCTTTATTATTTGTAAAATGTCTGTTTCCATTTTTCATCACTTTTAACTCCTGCTGTCTATGTGTGAGCAAATGTGGAATTTCAGGTCTTTCAACATCTGATTTCTATGTTTATCTTCCTATCAAAAGACACAGGTGTGGCCAGTGTGTTCTTATTAATGTCATGGTGTTGACTGGTCCTGACAAAGTTCCCCCTCAATGTATTTGGATGTTAGCTCTTGAACAGCCTGAAAGTAGCAGTAAACTTGTGATAATCTTTTGTACTTCCAGAATCCTAAATCAATTGGTCTTCTAGAGTTAGTATGATAGTAATAATACTTACTACTCTTTTACAGTTGTAGAATTTACAGGAAAGAGTAGTTAGGTGAGTAGTCCATGTGCACAAAGAGTATATGTTGCAGAGTCAGGGATAAGAGGCCAGATTTGTGACTGGGTTCTTACTTCATTGTTCCTTGTCACTCATCACCAACTAAAGCTGAATTTGAACCAGTGACCTAGATGTGAAAGGACCCATAACACATTATTAGTCCTGTAAGCAACTCAGACTGCTGGGTTTGTATATGTCTAATATGTTGTTTTAATCCTATCTGAAATCAGAGTCCCTTCACTATAAATGGTTTGCTAAAAGGGTAATCTTTCTTAGATAGAGGCAGAAATGAAAATTTCAAACTAAATGTGCTATTAGAAAGAAGTGGAATGTTATAGTGTCCTTTGTTTTTGCTTCTGATTGTGCTTGAGAATTGCTTGGGTTATGTGTTAGATTAGGCAAGAAACCAAGGAAGCTGTTCATCTGATGTGTGACAGAAAGTTAATCTGATGAACAAGCTGAAAGGACATTGTCAAGCTGTTTCAGGCTCAGAGCTTGTCTTCTGTGAAGTTGTGATCTAGTGCATGAAAACTTGTGTCCTAAAATATGTTAGATTTTTATGAGAACATTAATGGATTTATAAAAGCAATGCTGGCTGTAAAATCCCACCACTTATGTAGCAATGTAAGAATTCATGAACTGTTTGTTGGTATTTCTTGTAGGAAATTGTTATGTCCAGCTGAATTCCCAGATCTGTGCATACTTCTGCTTCCAGATAGACAAAAAATTGCATAGTTTGATACAAATTAAAGTGATGAATAAAATATCAAAGTTTCTCTACTTATAGTCTGAGCCTTTGTATTCATTTGGCCTTTTAATACTTGTCAGATTACCAGCTGAAGGAGTTAGGACTAATAATATTTTTCTCTAGCTCTAAAATCCTCAGACATGTAATGCTGTCACTTCTTCCTTAGGAACCAAACTCAGTTTTTACTTGTAACCTCACCATTTTTACACAGCCATCTCTCAAACTGTGTCATCAGAGGGGATAATCTGGAGCATGATGGTGGACATTGCTGTTTCACTCCCATCCTTGCTTTGTGGAATAGCCTCTTTTAGTTCTTCCAGTCAATGACAACTTGGAGAAACCTAAAGTTATTTTACATTGCAGGGGTGGTCAGACAAGCTGGGAGTACCCTAAGAACTAGTGCTTTATCATTTAAATATAAAAAAATAGCTCTTACCCAATTAAAATAATATCTTATTTGGGAAAAAAAAGAAGGTTCAAGCTTCATTAGGCTTCATGAACAGTAGAAATATTTTGTATGACTGTTAATGGGTTTTTAAAACAAGTTATCTGTGTCTGTGCTATTTTTGTGACGTTCACATGACTAAATTTTACCTAAGATAAAAAGTCTTTAGAAACTAATTCTAAGCCTGTGTATTTTAGCACTAGGTAAACAGGGAAATTTGTATTTCACTTGTGTGCTGCAAAGAGACAGGACAAGATGACCTACTTGAGGTCCTTTCTAGTCCACCAGTGCCTATGCTATTAATGTATTTGCCAGGTGCAAGCTCTAACTTCCTCTCACAGACATCAAAGCCAAATTCCATCTTTCTTGGAAAAAGTTCAGGGGTGTGTTGGTATGAACAAGAACAGTATCTTCCTCCCACCCTGCACAAAGTGTCAAGCAAAGAAAAGGAATGCTGTCTTGGGCTTCTTCAGTCTCAGCTAGTACTTTCAAGTATTTGTTTGAAAAAGTCAGAATTATTTTGTGTTTAAAATTGTCTCTAAACTTGCACTAGTTCTGGGGAGGCCAGTGTTCAGTCTTCTGCCATTTGTATTCATCAAGTGGTTTGTCATAGCATTGTATATTTTTAGTGCACAGTGTGAGCAATGAGTTTAGTCTGACCTTTTCATCTTTGTTGCTCTGATCTTGAATTCTTTTAAGCTGTTGAGCAGAAGTAGGCTTTTGTGTTGTGGGGACTGGAGAACACTAAGCTACCATATCTCCCATCCTCAGGATTTTCCTACTTAAGTTCAGGAGCAGAAGGTTTGAAGCTGGAATCTTCACCTTCCCTTCCCTGCTTTGCCCTTGATCCCTTGACATATTGTGGTTAAATTGTTTTATTCTTCCAGCCTCAGTTTACCTTTTCTTAAAATTCGGGGCTTTATTTTATTCTGCAACATCTTTTGCTTAATATTTCGAGGTATTCCTATGGGGAGAATAATGGATTGACCTTCTCTTCACCTCAGTAAGATCAGTTATGTAGTTCATTACTTCTCTCCCTTCAAATCTCCTTTTTTCAGTCCTGATGCCAAATGGAGTAAAAACACTGAAGGAATTGTCAAGGAGGCCCCAGAGATCAGAGGCTGTTGGTTGGTTAGGGTTTATTTATTTATTGATTTATGTGTATACATAATGCTTTGGGTTGGACCCACAAGTAACTTAATTAAAATAAAAAAGTATATTCTGTGAAGCATAAACATACCTGTTTTGCAGGAATCATGAGCTTATGAATCAAGCAGCTGTTAGACAAGTTTCTAAAAACACTTCCTCTGTGTAATTTTAAAGCTCATGGAGAATACTTCATGTCTTTGTGAAGTTCTCCAGAATGATAGGAATTTAAATGCATTGGAAAATATCATAAC